GGCGGTGCTCCCGCCCGTCTCCGCCGGGCAAGGCATTGCGGGCATGCCACCCCTCGCGTGGCAGGGAGGCTGCGGGGAAGGGAGCCAACTGATGACAGCTTCGATGGGACACGCTCGGGACACCCTGGGGGGCAAAGAAATGCCACCGTCGAGACACCACTGTTGTCTATCCGTCCACTATCCGTTTATCGATTCCCACCATCGGCCTCACTATAGGTCACGCCGTCGACCTCACCATGGACCTCACTATCTGTTTATCGATCTCGCGATCAATATCACTATCGATCTCACGATCGGTTCCGCTACCGATCTTCGTATCAATATTACTATCGGTCTCACTATCGGCTGATCGGTCAGACGATTGACCGCACTATCTCACTATCAGTCTCAGTCCCATATCTATCGGTCTCGCGGGACAACCACGGGGGCACCATCGGGACGCCAGCCAGATGCATAGGGACATTAGGACACATTGGTGACACCATCGGGACACCATCTGGACACAGTCGGGACACGACAGGGAAACCATCGGGACACCATCGACACACCATCGGGGCACTATCGGAACACCATCGGAACACCGTCGAGACACCATTGGAACACCATCTGGACAGTATCTGGACACCATCGGGACACCATGTGGACACCATCGGGACAACATGTAGACTCCATCGGGACACCATATATGTGGACACCATCAAGACGCCGTGCCGACATCATACACAATCGGGACACCATCTGGACACCATCGAGACACCATCGATAAACCATCGAGACCCCATCGAGACACCATTAAGACAACATCGGGACACCATCGAGACACCCCCAGGCCACCGCCGGCCAACCGGGGGGGCTATATCATCGATAGGCCCAATTTTGCCCTAAACACTGTGGACAAATTCCGCTCGCCCGCCCGCGCAGCTTGACCTCGCCCGCACGCACGACACGAACATGAAGCTGGAACCGATTTCCTGTTGGGGGTCTCCATTTCACATTGATCTCACCACCCAACCTTCGATCAATCGCACTATCGATCGGTCTCAAATCCATCGATCTCACAATCTATATGACCACCCGTCGGGTGATAGGGAGTTTGGTGGGTGGGGGGAAAGAACTAACTGCTGGCCAATGCGATGGGTGTGAAGATAACGATGCTGGTACGCGCCCTCGAAATAGCGACGCTGCGTGATGACGACGTTGCGCTGCGATGTAATATTGTTATCGTTCTAACTATCAATCTCGCTTCCGATCTCACTATCGATTCCTCCATCGATCGCAATATCGATCTGCCGATCGATCTCACAACCAATGTCATAATCAGCACCACGGGCGATCAATATCTGGATCTCACTATCAACCCCATTTTTGCGATCTCATAACAGATCTCACTATCGACTTCACTATTGACACCAAGGCGGTACACCCCGGGCCACCGTCCACCCACCGCCGACGGAACATCGACGGGACACCAACGGGACACCACGGGACACCACGGCGGGACACCCCGGGCCACCGCGCGCCCACGGGGGGCGGAGGGGCGGTCCACTGCATCCGAATCGTCCGAACGTCGACCTCATGATTTTAGTTACTTATCGATCTACCGATACCACGGGACAATCATTCAGACACCATAGGAACACCATCGGGACACAATCGTGACGCCATCGATACACCATCGACACACCATCGAGACATCATCTGGACACCATCGGGACATCATGTGGACACCACCTGGACACTATCGGGACACCATCCGGACACCATCGGAACACCATCGGGACACGATCTGGACACCATCGGGGCACCATGTGGACACCATGTGGACACCATGTGGACACCATGTGGACACCATCGCGACACAATCGGAACACCATCGGGACACCATGTGGACATCATCGGGACACCATCGGGCTACCGCCAACCAACCGCCGGGACACCCCCGGGCCAACGCTGGCTAATAGGAGGGGGGAGCAACTGTTGGTCTCGTTTCTCCCTGGCAACGGCGGGTTCATACCGCTCGCCCGCACGCACGATGCGAGCACGAAACCTAAACCGATCTCCTAGTGGGCCTTCGATCCACTGCGTCTTGGACTTCTGGGGGAGGAGGCGATAGGAGGCCGAGGCGCAGTGGACATCGAGACACATCTGGCCTCTAGGAGGCACATGTTTACCATGCTTATTTATCTATCCACTGCGCTCCTGCTTCCTGGGGAAGGGAGCCCGAACCCCCAAGACGCAGTGCATGTTTTTTGTTGTTGTTGCTGTTTTTTGTTTTGATTTTTGTCCGCAGACACGTCGACTTCGTTTGGCGGCGCGCACAGGGGGGTATGGGGAGGGGTGAAGGCTTCTTAGAAGCACCTCTGCTTCTTAGAAAGCGCGGGCCTTGTCTACAGATGTAAAGCCGGCGCCTTCTAAGAAGCAGCCTCCTTCTAAGAAGCCTTCCACCCTCCCCCTACCCCCTCTGCGCGCCGCCAATATATATAGTATATATATATATATT